CCCCCCCCCCCGCTCCGCCGCCTCCCCCGCACCGTCTGAGCGCTCTCCCGCGGTTCGAGCGCCCGCCCAGTGCCCCCTCCGCCCCGACACCCCCCCTCCATCCTCCGCCCCCTCCCCCACGCGTCTCAGCGCCCCCCACGGCTCCAGCGCTCGCCCAGCGCCCCCTCCGCCCCGCCCACTTTATTTCGGCACCGCAGCCCCTCCCTGCTCCGCCCCTTCCCGGACACCGCCTCAGCGCCCCCACGGTTCCAGCGCCCGTCCAGTGCCCCGCGGCCCCAGTGCCCGGCCAATGTCTTTCCTGCCCCGGTGCGCCCCTTTCGCCCCTTCCCCCCAGTGTTCCCCGCGGCCTCAGCGGGGCCTTCTCCGTATGGTTTCCTTCCGCCCCGCCCATCTTCTTTCCGCCCTCGCGAAGTAACACACGAGCGCCACAAAACGCTTAGGACATCGGGGATCCGGGCCATTACGAAATTGCATTCTGGTTGCAGCAGCAACAAGAAACTGGGGATCCGGGACATTACGAAATTACATTCCTGCTTGCATCAGCAAGTGCACAGACCCTCTACATCTCAGGGCTGTACCCAGAATTCTCTTCGGATTTCGGCGCGGCACCGGCGCGGTGCCCGCCCGTCCTCCCCCCCCCGCTCCTCGCTGGCGCCGACAATTCGGCGATGCGTTGTAGTCAGGAGGAACAGGAGGGACGAGGGAGGGAGGAGGGAGGAAGGGAAGAAGGAGGAGGGAGGATGGAGGAGGGAGGAAGGAGGAGGCCAGACGGATGAGGACGAGGGCGGAGGGAAACGGGAGGAGAAGGAGAGGAAGAGGAATAGGAAAAAGGAGGGGGAGGAAAAGGAGGGGGAGGAGGAGGAGAGGGGCCGGGGAAGTGGAGGGAGGAGGAACGGCTAAAGCGGACGGGGCCCCTGGATGGAGTCTCACCGCAGCCGCCGACAATTGGGCGATGCGTTCTGGTGAGTCAGGAGGAGAAGGAGGAGGAAGAGGAGGAGGAGGAGGAGGAGGAGGAAGAGGCAGGAGGGAAGATACAGGATGGCGGCGGAGAGGAAGGAGGAAGGAGGAAGGACGAGGGGTGAGGGAGGAGGCAGGAGGCACGAGGGAGGAGGGCGAAGGGAGGAGGGTGGGGGGAGGAGGGACGGGCCGGAGGAGGAGGAGGAGGAGGAGGAGGAGTGAGGAAGATGAGCAGGAGGGGGATGATTATGAGGAGGAAGGGAGAGGAGGGCGGAGAAGAGAGCAGGAGAGGGAGGCGGAGGAGGAGGTGGAGAAGGAGGAGGAAGAGGAGGGGGAGGAGGAGGAGAAGAAAGAGGATGGGACCGAGGGGGAGGAGGGAAAATGAGGGGAGGAGGAGGAGGAGGGATGGCGCAGGGGTGACATATGCTTGATGACTGGTGATTGATGATGATAATGATGAGGAGGGGAAGGCGGAAGAGAATTATGATGATGGTAGTAGTGATGGTGATGGTGATGGTGATAGTCATGGTCATGGTGATGGTGATGATGATGGTGCTGATGGTGATGATTATGGAGATAACGATGATGATGCTGATGATGATGACGATGATGATGATGATGATCATGATCATCACCCCCCTCCTCCCCCTTCCTTTTTGCGCAAGAGCCATGGCACACGTGCCATTTGTTTTCCAACTTTTGATGTCAATATGCGGTCGGTTCCCGGAAGTGAACCGATAGTAAAACTTCCTCGGAGGAGCTGAGCTGCTCTCAGAACAAAGCTTATATGCAAATGCTTCGCGTAAAAACTCTGCTTTCTGAAAATGGTTAAATATCTTTCAAATCTTAGCAAAACCCACCCAAAGTCATCACATTGTCCGTTCTGGTCGGGTCGACCAACTAGCTCCACCCCGCGCCGGAAGTCCTCTAGCTCATCGATGCCGAAGAGCTCTACGAGGTATATGCACGGTTTGTTTCCGGATAGCTGCTTGCAGCAGAAGGGTCTGAGAGAAGAAGCCGGAAGGTGGTGAGTGAGGGCCCAACTCCCGCGCTCGCGGTCCGGAATCGCCGCAGAGATCTGCTTGAGTTCCCAGTGGGTCCGGGAGCGTGGCTTCTTAGCGTTTCCCAATACGCGCGGCTCCAGGGTGTGCGAAGAGCTTCCGCAGAGCTTCGCCAGCGCTGTTTCCCCGATAGCTGCTTGCAGCAGAAGGGCTTGTGAGGAGGAGCAAGGAGGTGGTGAGTGAGGGCCCAACTCCCATTCTCGCCCGTCCAGAATCGCCGCAGGAGCTTGCTTGAGCCTCCAGCGTGTCCGGGAGCGTGGCACCCCAGCGTGTCCCACTACGCGCGGCTCCAGGGTGCGCGAAACGCTTCGGCAGAGCTACGCAAAGCGTCGTTTCCAAGCTCCCCGAAGCTTCGTTTCCATGCTCCCCGAAGCGTCTTTCCGCAGGTTCCCCAGCGCTGCACTGCTCGCTTGAACGCGCGCGATGAACCACATTCCCGGATAGCTGCTTGCAGCAGAAGTGCTGGAGAGAAGAAGCCGAAAGGTGGTGAGCGAGGGCACATATCCTGAGCTCGCCCGTCCAGAATCGCCGCAGAGATCTGTTTGAGTTTCCAGCGGGTCCGAGAGCCTAGCGTCTCTCAATACGCGTGGCTCCAGGGTGCGCGAAACGCTTCGGCAGAGCTACGCAAAGCGTCGTTTCCAAGCTCCCCGAAGCTTCGTGTCCATGCTCCCCGAAGCGTCTTTCCGCAGGTTCCCCAGCGCTGCACTGCTCGCTTGAACGCGCGCGATGAACCACATTCCCGGATTGCTTGCAGCAGACTGGGCGCCGGCGGTAAACCGTCAACCTTTGTTACCGCCGGGGGACTCGTAGAGCTTCCTGACAACATATATAATGTAGAAAGAAATTCAAGAGAATTCCAGCCCAAGCCAGACCTCTCAAGATGACTCTGGCAAACAAACGAACAGTTTGGAACCCAGCTCGAGTGTAAAACCGAGTTCAGACCTCTTAATGCGACAGGCGGACGCGTCTGATCTCTGCGAATCGACTTCTGTTATTACCGGCCCTGCAGCCCCCCTACAGCCCGAGTCAAGTGCAGAAACCGACAGCAGCTCTCAGGATAACTTCAATAATAGTTTCGCGGAGCTAGTTCGAGTAGCAGACCGAGTTCCGAGCTCTCCGTTCGACAGACGGACGCGCCTGATGTTTCCAAAT